CCCTCTCCTCACCAGGCCGCTGGCATGGCTTCCCCCGCGCGCGCGCGCGCACGCGCAGCCCACCCCGGACCGGCGACTGCCAGTTTCATGTGCGCCCCCCCGCCCATCTCGCCCTCCTGCCCGAGGCCCCAAACGGTCGACACAAATAAACAGACCCCGGGGCAATATCCCGCCGGCCGGTGTTTGCGCCGTCGCCCCCCCCCCCCCCCTCCGCGGCGATAACATCACACACGCACAAACCGAAAGGGCTCGGCCCCCGGGCGCGCGCGCCCGCACACGCCCACCGCCGCCGCCGGAGGCCGGGCACCGAAGCAGGGCACATCGCCCCCCCCCCCCCTAAAAAGAACTCGCGTGCTCTGGCCGGCGTCGCCCGCGGCCCGGCAGGTAAGAAAAAACATACACCCTGCCCCTCCCCCCACCCCGGGCGCGCTCCGGCCCGGGCGCCGCCCAACTGTTGTTGTTATTGTGTGTGACGCGCCCGGGTGCGGGGGCGCCCGCCGCAGAGACCGGCGGGATTTCCCGGGCAGCTGGTCTACCCGTCTCTCTCTCTCTCGGGCCCCCCGGCCTTCCCCCGGTCCGGGTCGTTCCCCCACGGTGGGGAATGCGCTCGCCCCCCTCCTCCCCCCCCCCCGCCCGGCCTTCCCTTGCCGGCAAACACCTCAAAAGGCAGACGCACACATCTCGGCGTCCATGCTCGTCCTGGGGGGTGGGGGGGGGGGCCACCACCGGGCGCGCCGGTCCCCGCTGATTAATACGCCCCTCCGGGCGCCGGCCGTGCCCCGGCGGCACCGCGTCCCGGGGCCGCCCGCGCAGCAGGTCCTTAATCAGGGGCGCCCTGCCGTCCCCCCGGCCGGGCTGTCTCACCGCCGGCCGGGGAGCCTGGGCGCGCCCGGCGCACACACGCAGGGGGCATGGCAATGACCGCCGCAATGCACCAAGCCCGGTGCCGCCGAGCACGCCGGCCTTCCCGCACAGCCCCGGGGGCGGCGGGAACACCCGGCGGAGGCCCCCCCCGCCGCCCCGAATGAAGCCGCCGGCGCCCTCGAGGCACGAGCAATCCCCGCCGCCTCGGCCGGCGCCAGGCTCGCGCCCGATGATGCGGCCGCACAACCGCCGGCCGCCGCCGGCCGCGTCATGCAGACAGCTCACCCCCCCCCCGGAGGAGGGCGGACCGGCAGGCCGCGGCCCGGAGCGCACCGCCGCCCTCCGAGCCACGACCCGGCCCAGCGCGCCCTCATCGGGGAAGGCGCACAGGGGGGGGATTAATCTCTGGGCCCTCGTGCCCCCTCCTCGCACTGGGCCCGGCCCAAGGGCGAGGGGCCCCGCACCCGCGGCGTCGCATGCATGTGCACACCGGCGCCGGCGCACGCAACCCCCCGCGAGATGAGCGTCCCCGCGCTGGGCCGCGCTGCGGCCGCCCGGCCGCCCGCCCGGGGCGCCGGTTTTCCGCCCCGAGCCGGGCAAAGCCCCGCTCGTGGGGGAGTTGTCAAGCGGCCGCCCGCCCGGCCACCCCCCACCAGCGCACGCGCCCACACAAGACACCCGAGGGGGGAAATCGCCAGACAGCCCGCGGCGGAAAATGAGGAAACGCGGATCTCGCCCGGCCAACCGGCAGGCGCCAACGCACGCCCCCGCTCACGCGCGCCCATCCCCGCAGGTACACACCCAGCCGCCGACCGGGGGGACCTCGCCCCCGCCGCCGGGTGCGGGAGACCGCATGCCCCGAGCGCGCACACAACAAACACACACGCACGCACGCACGCACGCACACCGGTACACACGTACACACGCCTCAACTCTACACACGGGGATTCCCAGAAACTCCGCGCCGCCCCGGCCCCCCCCCCCCCGCAAGCACGCCGACCGGACACTGGGACTGACAGACGGCCGCCGGCCAGGGGCCCCCAGCCGGCGGGCAGCGGGCTCACACGTATACAGAGACACCCGGCCAATGCCGGCCAGCACCCCC